GCAGAATATTTACAGCTTGAAAGAATTAATAAAAAATAACTGAGCTGTTCCTTTTTTTTTTTTTTTTGCGACCAGCCAATATTTCTTTAGTGGGCAAGTGCAACCACCAGTTAAACAATATTCAGGTGTTTATTCACCCACGAAATTTCAGTTTCTCAGAAATGGAAAGATATTCAGGATGCAATCCTATAGTCACCTGTGAGTACGTGCTGTTGAGCTCAGTGGTACTTTCTTCTGAGTAAACATGTATAGTATTGCACTGTAACAGTGGAGTCCTAAACTTACGCCCTCGAGAGGGACAGAGCAATCCACAAACACCTTTCACCTGCTATTGCAGGGGGTGTGTGTCCCCCCCACCCAAAGCCTTACAGAGAGATAAATGCTCCTGTCCTCCCTGCTCCCGTGCAAGGAGTTGGGACCAGTAGCAGCCAATGTGGGACACTGCTGCTCTCCTGGCTGCCAAACACAGTATTTCACTAGTGCTTTTCACAGGCGGAGGCACAAGGTGCACCGAACTTGCTGCAACAGCAAGAGCGTTGGATTGGCTTTGTCATACTGCACAGCCCTGAGCTCCCCATGCCTTGCACCTCTCTAGTAAGCGCCAGCGATGCACAGTGTTTGGAAGGCAGCAGAACGGTCACGCCCTCCCTATGCTCCTGCATGGGTCACTGCTGGATGGGGATCTCATCGCTGTCAACTTCAACTTTTTCCACTCATTGGGAGAAGTGGAGGGAGTGGGGACAGGTGCTCGCCATGGAGACTGCAGCAAAAGAATTTGCATGTCTGGGTGAAGGTCTGGTTTTGTGTACATTCGACGTAACAAGTGACATAAAAAGCTTCTGTCCTCATCGTTTTTCATTTACGTTATTCTGCGTATGTCACTGGTCCTCTGTTGTTGGGCCAGAATTTCTGAGTAATCTTCAAGACTGAGGAAAAAGAAAAAGAAAAGTCTTGGGCAAAAGCTCTGCTGTGTGGCATTTAAAAATATACAGCAATTTTAAATGCCGGTTTAACACAGTTCTTGCCATACAGCATCATTCTTTAATAACAGACAGCATGTGTGTGTGTGTGTGTGTATGTATGTGTGTGTATGTGTGTATATATATATATATGACATGACTAAACTTGGGTGTGGAAGACTACTTTGTCCATTGAGACTATTTGGGAATTTTTATGGGCCTCCCAGCATTCCTCCTGGAGAATGCTGGAGGTCTGCGAAGGAGAAGGGGGGTGGGGAAGCCAACACAATAGGAGAACTCTGCCAAGAAAAGGGCCAAAATGTCCGCAAACGTTTACAGAGTTCATTATGGGAGCCAGTCTCAGCTTGCGGCTTTCCCCAACTGGAATAGTTTGAATAACTCTATAATTTTTATTGGTGCAGTTAGTACATGTGGCTGGCCACACACGGCTGTCAGCCAGATGTCTTATTCTGTGTAAATGTAAAAGGATGCTTTGGGTTGGGTTGGTTATTTGTGTCATATTTATTGGGGTGTGTGTGTGTATGTGTGTATGTGTGTGTGTGTGTGTGTAAGCAGTCAATTCACTCCACCTCACATTTCATTGGCACAGGAGCCAAAGGTTTCATGGAACTATTTAAGCCAGAATGTCCCCAAACTTGCCGTAACTGAGGCACACTTATTTTCTGAATTAAAATAGGTTGTGTGTGTATAAAAAAAGCATTTCTTGCAGCTGAGGTAAGGGTAAGTGTGACTTGCCCTCAGAAGAGTTAGCCCCCTGTTTTACTGCATGAGTCAATGTTCTGGGCATGTCTTCTAATTGGAAAGAGGTGACCCCAAGACTAATCCAGAGACACCATTGGCAAATACCTCTCGGAACAGGGCAATTCTGTTGTGACTTTCCAGAGCAGTGAATCATGCATGGAGATGGCAAGTAGGCCTCTTTTGGAGCCTTTGATTATTCAGCTCGTTTCTCATTGCACATTAGCAGTTCTCTCGGGGCACACATGATAGGAGCTGGTGATTTAAGGAAAAAGGGAAATGTGTGGACGTTCCGCATTTTTATGGATCCTGTTATTTAGTATCCATGTATGTACCAAATATGGATGATTCTACCTCCCTTTTATCCTCTTCCTGCTTATCTTGGATCTTCATGCTTTCACCAGTATATAGAAAGGGATAGAAACTCCCAAACTGGGTCAACTTATTGTGGAAGGGGGGGATATGTGGGAAAGTGAGATGTAGCTGAAAAGCAGGTGGTTATATCTCCTCTCTATCTCCCTTCCCCACATCTTCCCTCTTCCTTTTTTTTTTTGTATGGCTAGGATCCTGAGATTCATCTTCTACAGTCAGATGTAGAATAATGGCCGATTCTCTCTCTCTCTCTCTCTCTCTCTCTCTCTCTCTCTCTCTCTCTCTCTCTCCTCTCTCTCTCTCTCTCTGTGTGTGTGTTCATGTGTATACACACAGATGCCAAAGCAGTGACTGAGGGGGAAGCACTGGTGGAGGAAGAGGAATGCGGGGGGAGCGCACCAGCCCTGGCAGCACGATCCCGGTGGGGTGCCATCGTGACTGCTCTGCCCGCCCGAGTTGGGCGCCCCGCCCCCGGGACACGTGCCAGCCCTGCCCCCGCCTGCTCTCCGCCCCCTGGTGCCAGAACATGAAGCTCCGCCACTGAGGGGAAGTTACCTACTGTTACCTACACACTAGGGAGTTCTAAATTTTACATCTGAGTAACTACCTTGAATTTTAAGGGTGCGGTTTATATGTGGGTGTGGCTTATATTTGGGGCAATACGGTACTTGTGTAAGACACAGACTGAGAGGGCATGTGTATCTGGACATGCAATACTTGGGATTATTAGGATGCTGACAAGCTATTCTACTCCCTGTCTGTTCATAACATCCACTACTTCGTGGTCACGTTTGCTACTGCATTGACAATGAGCACCATCGTAGTGTCTTAAAGCTTATAAAATCAATGATGCTAACGCAGAGGGGAAACCAGTGGAGTCCTTTTCGTATCATACCAGTGCCCCTTAAGCAAAAGCAAGCCTGCATTGCTTCATAATTTTCTGTGCCATCATTATCATTATTTAAACTCGGGGAGAGAAATGTAACGTTTAGAGACAAAACTTCATTCCTTTCTTTTGTCAGGATGTGTCAGAAAAAGCAACAAGCAGCTGTTTTTGTGAACGGGTACATCGTTGTGGGTAAGCGTGGGAGGTTGGATAGCACAATAAATCAGAAGTCGGTGTTTTAAGGAGCCAGGCTGGTTTAGTCACCTGTGTTATTCTTAACTCTAAATGCTGACTCAAAGGAAGAGGTGAACTCGAGGGAGCAAAGGTTTCTTTTATTTAGGTGCAGCCAGGCCAGGTCTACCCATGAGGCGAGGTGAAGCAGTTGCCTCAGGCAGCACAGTGCCCCCTGCAGGTGAAACACCCACCCTGGAGAAGCACAGCGCCAGCATAGCCTTGTGGACAGAGATCTGTGTCATAGTTCAGCCTATTATGTGCCGCTAAAATGGGAGCCTGTGGGGCTAGCTCAGCTGAACTACATGACTAACTTCCTTGGATCTGTGCAGAGTCACTCTGGAGGGGAAAGAGACTTGACCCTTTTCAGGGTTGCTTCCTGCCCTCCCAGTTGTGCACTACCACACTAAACTGCCCACGCAGGAAACTTCCATACAGATGTTGTCCTTAGAAACACAAGCAGGGTTCCCCTTCCTTATAAGAATACGGGAAAACTATGACCAGCCAGGACAAGAGCATCATTGTCCTAGAAGCTTGGATCTGGAGCCCAGGTGGGTGACTGGGAAATCTCTCTCTGTGTGTTATATGTTTGAGTTGGCAGGAGTGGTAAACAGATGAGTAAAATGAGTAGGAGACACAAGAATGTTGCAGAATGGATGAATAGCTGAGCCTGAGCATATGAGTAATGATGTGGAAGAATTAATAAGGAGCATTGAATGAGTGATGTCTAGGCAAGTCCTGTGTCTGCTTGTGTGTTTTGGCAATGGGTTTGTGGGTGATGGGTACCGGTGGTGTGGTCAACGTTGCATTGTATGTACATGCTATTAACAAAACATCAGAGGAGCCATTTTCCTGTTTTTCTCAGTCTAACCCTCCCTTGCATAATAAACTCAATATTGCACATATAGGATTAAGTTACGTCACTAATACTTGGGTTCTGGTGATTTGAAAAGATTTCACAGCACAGAAAATGGTTTGTGTCACCACTGCTCAGAATGACTTCCTGTGAGCCTGAACAAAACAAGAATTGCCATGTTGTATTGTGTCAGTCTTAGTACATCATTCTGCTTCCAATGGTGACCAGCCAGATGCTTTTCAAAATAATGAAGGGAGAGTGTCTGGTATTTAAACCATAGTTTATGTAACTGACTTGTTTCAACAAACCATAGTTAACCTATTCAACCATTTTGAGTTCAACATGACACCAAACTGTGGTTAATATAAAACAGTAATGGCAACTAATCGAAGGCTTTTACAGTCATATTCTTGTCATGATAAACCATGGCTTACCATTATGCCCAGACACCGTTGATTGTTTCATGGGTTGTCCTATAGAAGGACAAACCATATGACAGTAATAAGAGGAACCATACAATTAGTAGCAATAAAAGAGCAACTGTTACAATCACTGCAATTAATACTAAAGATGAAGTTAGTTATAAGCTACAGAGTGAGTTAGCTACGTGTATGGAAGCTAATTGATGAATTAAAACATTTTTATCATCTCAGGTTGGTTGGTTCCCTGATTTATGACATACATTCTAGCTAATCACTGTGGTTCTGAACAACCTTTTTCATGGGCTGTCCTGATCAATAAAATATTGTGGGGTCCCAGGTAAGCCCCGCCCTGCATAATTGATCACATGACGCAGTGCACACACACCATTTGAATGGGAATGCCCATTCTTCCTCAAATATTTTATTGTGGGGGCCGAAGCCCCCACAGCCCCTAGGAGTTGGCTCGTATGAGCTGAATAGTGGAAGGTTTGGGACAGATAAAAGGGCACATGGCTCATAGTTAAACTATGGAAATCACTAACATAAGATGTAGTGATGGCTGCCAACCTTTAAAAGGACATTAAATGAAGCTAAGTTCTAACTTTGTGGTGGAATCTCAAAACGATCTACATCTACTGGGGGAGATAATTCCCAAGGAAGGCTGCTACAACAGAGAAGGTCCTGTCTCATCTCACCAAATAGTGGCCTATACCCACTGGCTGGATTACGGCTTTATACTGCTTCCAGGAACAGGAAGCAACAGCAGGAGTTGCCTTCATATCTTGTTTCTTGACTTTTCATAGGTGTCAGGTTGGCCATTGTTGGAAACAAGATACTGAACTAGATGGGCCCTTGGTCTAAATTAGAATGGATGGTTTTATGCTTTTATGAAAACTGGATAAAAGCGGCTGGATATGCTGTTGCAGCACATAAAATATTCAAGAGTGTAATGTGTTGTAAGGATCATAGCTTAATGACATTTTTAATTAAAAAAACTGGATGGAATTTTTGTTTTAATATTCTGAAGGTTTACTTTATATGCTTTTTGAGCCTTTTGCTTAAATAACAAATGATGCTGTTGATGGATGATTAAGAAAATTAATATTTGCCAGTGTTCAATTCTGGTGAAGTGGAACTTATAGGTGGATTGGGAGGGTGCAGGCGCTGGAAGAGGTGAAAGGACAGTCTGAAACAGATCAGGATCCTAGCACCAAGGGTGACCAAAGGCAGGTTTTCAGGACCCTGGACAGAGCCCCGGAAACAGGAGAGTTGTTCCAATGAGAGCTCAGCCTCAGCTGAGCCCTTTTGTGTGTCCTGGGCCTGACTACTCCTCCTTTTCTGGTCTGCAGGGGTGGAGAGATTCTTAAAAAAGCAGCTGTCTGCCTTGGAATTTGGCACTCTTTATCAGTTCCCCAGTCTGTTACTGATCATGTTGCCTTTGTTGGCAGGCAGGCTCAGTGCTCTTGGAGGTGAGAATGCCAACCTCTCAACAAAATCAGGTTCAAGGACTGCAGAATCAGGAACTCTGTTCTTTTTTGCTCAGTCTGCCTCTTCAGTCTGCCACTGGCTCCCCACCCTTTGTGCCTGCAAGTCCGAGTCAAGCTACTAGTGATTTTGTAGTCTTTGCTACAAGGATCCAAGGATCCTGGGAGCTTTCCAGGGGTTCATCAATATGGTTAGGTCATTTGAATTGTAATTCCAGACTACAGGTTGGAACCTGATGAACTAACTCTGCACTCATATGTTCCCAATTCTCCCAATTTGTGCTCAGATCTGAAATAATGGAAAATGATAGTTTGCTGCTAGCACCTGAACTGGCAAGGTGTGGCTTGGACAAATCATATTTGCCCTGTTTGAATGTAATGCTAAACTGGATGTGAGAAGGGAAACTGGAATGCATGAGGGCTGAGGGAGGGAGTGTGTGAACACAGGATTCATTTGTGTAGTTCCAAACAGTAGTTTGGTGGGACATCTGAACTGTCCCAATGTTACTAACAGCTGGCATGCAACCCTGAATAATAATAATAATAATAATAATAATAAATAATAATAAATTTCATTTCTATACCACTTCATATTTTTAAGAGGGGAAAAAATACCAAAGCAGTTTACAATATACATCAAAGCATCAAATAAAACAATCCAGATGAAACATGATAGAAGGAAGTAAAACATAGTTATCCATTCCAAAAAGCATAATTAACAGGAAACTAAAGCTTTAAAATGAAAAATTACAAAGAAGGGTCAATTACAGAATGCACATTTAAAGAAGCCAAGTTAACAAAAACAAAGACCTTAAACAATGCGGTGGTGGGAGCAGAGGAGCGGAGCGTAAGCAAAGGAGCTCACAGAAAATTGGGTGGTGTGTTTACAAATATGGAGCAAAGGAAGAGGCAAGAGAATAGGCGTTGGCCAGCAAATGTCTCCAGTATTGATACCCATCTCTGATGGGGGGGCCACAAGAGAGTTTTAGACTTGTTCTAGGATTTGCTTTCGCGGGTGGGACGCGGGTGGCGCTGTGGGTAAAACCTCAGCGCCTAGGACTTGCCGATCGCATGGTCGGCGGTTCGAATCCCCGCGGCGGGGTGAGCTCCCGTCGTTCGGTCCCAGCTCCTGCCCACCTAGCAGTTCGAAAGCACCCTTAAGTGCAAGTAGATAAATAGGTACCGCTTTATAGCAGGAAGGTAAATGGCGTTCCGTGTGCTGCTCTGGTGCCGGTTCGCCAGAGCAGCTTTGTCACGCTGGCCACGTGACCTGGAAGTGTCTGCGGACAGCGCTGGCTCCCGGCCT